GCGGGTGGAAACGCCACATTGGCGTTTCGACAAAGCTTGGTCCGCAGAGGGAATCCGCCCTTGTGGTTCAAAAGATACTTGATTCAGACCCCAGAAGAGATTCGGTCTCTTGAACATTCCCAGATTGTCCTCGCAAACAGCTCTGGTGACTGTCAGCCCAGAAAAGCAGCTCCAACAACCATGTCCACAGAACAAATAGAATGTAGTAGATAACACTGCAATTGCTGCATTCCATGAACCTTGTGGTTAATGCCCAAACTACAGCCAAAGACAAAACAAACTCCTGTCCTCTGCTTCCTATGCTCACCCCTCCCTTCCCCCCCCCCACCCACCCACCCCAGTCTTCTGGACCCCTTCTACGTGAATTGCTGCATTCCATGAACCTTGTGGTTAATGCCCAAACTACAGCCAAAGACAAAAGTTACGAAAGAAGAAATAGGAGTAACAAAAGACTACACTGCTGCTTGGGCTAGAGCATTTAACTGAATAAACTCCGGGCCAATTCTATGCACTTGCTGCCAGTCCGTTGGGTTCATTGACTTGGGTTTCTGGCCTTCTGGTGGAGATGGATGTGGAATCCATCAAATGCACAAAACTCGGAGGCATGATTTCCGCACATTGAAATATTGAGGGCAGACACCAAACTCATGATCATTGTACTCGCACACAGCAAGACAAATGCACACGGTAAGCGAAGGCAAAAAATGTAGATGACACAGACAAAAAAAGGGACGACGGCAGAAACATAAGCACTTCCACGCGATAGGGCATGACAAATGCACACGGTAACCAAGGGCCAAAGTTATAGATGAAGACATACAAAAAAAAGCAAGGCAGCAGACACACAAGCACTTGCATGTGCTACCTCCTTGTGAACATGAGTAACAGGCAGGGAAAATATATATATATAGAGAGAGAGAGCTAGTGCAACCATGCGACACATGAGGGGTGCAGGAGTGAGAGAGAGAGAGAGAGAGAGAGAGAGAGAGAGAGAGAGAGTAGTGGGAGGGGGGAGAGACAGAGGTGAGACCGAAACAGAGGTGGAGGGAAAGACAGACAGACAGACAGACCACATTCCATAAGACATACACAGAGAAAATCGCAGCCAACTGATCAAGAAGCAATGTAGGGAGTTAGCTTCTTCAAAGGGGTACATTGGTAGGAAACCATAGCAATGGTTAAGACTCAGAAAACCTCCTCTCCATATATCTGGTTAGGAATGGAGTGCAGGGTAGCAATAGCTTCCCCATCTGCCAGGAGGTGAATTCAACACAGTTCGATCGGGACAAAAGAAGTGTTCTCAACATACCTTAACTACTACCACTTTCTGCCGTGATTGAATCACAAGAAAAGAAGAAAGTGTTGCACTGTACAATGGTAGGGTAGGGTAGGGGGGGGGAGGGCGCGGGGAAGCAAGGAAAAAGAAAACTCTTCCTGAAGAAAAATTGAGGTCTTGCACCTGGCTCCGCCTGCCAAGGGAGCCAACATCCCACTCCACCATAATGAACAGTGGCAATAAGCCAGCTATCCTTCCACCTGTGGCGGTCCAACGATTCGCAGATTCTTGTCCATCGTTGTGATTGCCATATACTTGGCATCAGGCCCGAAGCGAACAGATGTGATTGTCCCTGCAAGTTTATGCAGGTCCCCACACAAAAGAACCAACCACAATCCCCAAAACACTAGGTCAGATGCCTTACATGCTCCTGGCACCATGTTTCACAAATTCCAATCGCACACCGACAGCTGTGACACAGTCCCAGCAAGGTACCTTCCTGTTCTGTCTACATTCTTCCTTGAACTTCTCGTCCATCGACCGTCGATTATTCCTTTCCTTGATGAAAGATATCTATCATACCTTAGGTCAGTCCAGCATGGATGGATGTCAGTCATCATCAGCATGCCACTGAGGTTCCTATCAGTGGGAGTGCGAGGTTGAAATGGCACTAGATTAAAACCTTCAACCTAAGCTCTCAATTTCAAGGGAGACGATTTCAATTTCAAGGGAGACGAAGACGCTTGCCACAACCACCAAGTGGTAATTCCAACCTTCAATTTCAAGGGAGACGAAGATCTTATCAGTGGTCAAACGAAGAGTGCTGCAAAGAGCCTTTTTTTTTTTTTTTTTTTTTTTTTTAACCCCCCTGCATAGAACAATTCTTATCGCTTGCAAATTGATAAATCAGTTCTATTACAGACACATAAAACTTGATAAAAGACAAACCAGGTTCTTTAAACTTCTTTTTGCTTTTCCTTTTCATCCCACTTCCATAGCAATCCACAGCTTCCCACAAATACAAGATATAACTCATCTGCTGCAGTATTTTTTTATCAAAATACAAATGCTGCAGGATGGATTGAGATTCCAAAAACTATGACATTCCCAGCACAACACCATGTGGCCATTTTTCAGGGTGAAAATTGTCCACCTAATAATTAGGTTAGGCAACTTAGGTTGGAAATTGAAACATTAACCTACAAGACCACAAATGATAATAATCACCTTGCAAGTTCAAATTTCAATTCTCATTCAGAACATTGTTGGGTTTCCCACTTCAGACGGATAACCGTGCCATTAGGAAATGCCAATCAACCGTGCTAGGTTGTCACATCAATCAATGACTTTACGCGACAAAAAAAATCTCTCAATCAAACGAAGATTGGGTAAAATCAGTGACTGGAAAAGGCACTCCCAAGTCAATGAATCTAAGTTTCCAACCATATAAAGAGTGAGTTGGGTACACAACATAAACAAAAAATTGCTGAGATATAGATACTTTCTTGCTAAAGTAGTACTCAAGTTGCAAAGCGACAGGAAGCACAAGCATACATGCTATGCTACCAACATGTGCCCCTCCCTCATCAAGTTCAGTTTCCTTCTGAAAGCATATGTCATCCCCTCTCCTCAAACCTCCCCTCCACCCTCCTCACCACCCCACACCACACCACAACTTCTCCACAGTGGATTCTCTCAGAAGCCCTCTTACCCACCTGTTCCTGAGAAGTCGTTGAATGTCTTTATGATAGGCCATTCATGCTTCACACTCTGAACTTGATGAATCCTGTTGTGGAGATGTCAACAAAAAACAAAACACCCGCAATTGCTACAGTTAGAGCGCCATTTTCTTTTTTTCTGACCCTTTTCTATTTGTCTTTTGCCTTTTTGCTCTGGCCACAGGATGCATGTTGCATGGAATATAGGCGAAATTGTCCTCGCTAACGTTTTATGCCCACCAAATTGAGCAGCTGTGAATCATAGGCTCCCTGTTCAAATCCCTTTACAGTCCCTCCCCCACCCTAATGCACTCTAATAACTCGACTCTCACAATAACATCAGCATCTTGGTCTCTTTCTTTCCCATTTCACAAGCAGTTCTGTCTCCTGCTGTGCTTGAGGATACAAGGTACAATCACGCCAAAGAGAAGTACACAGCACTCCAGTGAATTAACAAGTCAAATGATTTCAACCGCGAGGCCCACCTTTTCCAATCCATCACGTCAAAGAAAACTCCACACCGCTCCAGCTGTGGTGACAGGGTACTTTTTGTGCGCATCAGTTCTTTTCCACTCCTCTAACACCATTGGGAAGTGAATGAGTCGTTTGGCATTCAACATAATGCTTCCATTTTGTTTTGTGTTTAGCCCTAGCCCTCGCTCTTTCTTTGCTAATACTCCAGGAAAAGAGAGGCCAGATGCAGAAAGAGGCACAATTTCAGCAGAGCTGATGAAGAAGTCACAGACAGGACAAGAAACTTGTAGGGTCTCTGTGACAGACATATTACCAATGGCCATGAGGCTTTGGCAAGCGGTGAAGCAGTGGCCTTGCCAACCAAGGTCTTTTCTTCACAAAACTCAGTCAGTACAGAGTAAAACTAATCCCAAATCACAACCACAAAAGCAGGCACGCAAACAGATGGAAGAAAAGATGCATATTGTTTGTATAGAATACGAACAAGAGCACGTAAAAAAAGTCAAAGATTGCTTTTCTCATGCGTTCCACTTGTCTTTCGTTTACGAACCAGGTGCTAGTACCGACACACATTTCGAACCTGGTACCAAGGTCTATTCTTCACAAAACTCAGTCAGTACAGAGTAAAACTAATCCCAAATCAGAACCACAAAAGCAGGCAAGCAAACACATGGAAGAAAGGATGCATATTGTTTGTATAGAATAAGAACAAGAGCACATGAAAAGTCAAAGATTGCTTTTCTCATGCGTTCCACTTGTCTTTCGTTTCCAAACCAGGTGCTAGTACCGACACACATTTCGAACCTGGTACCTCGCCCGGTTCATAACCTTGAGTTTTCACCAATCAGCTTTTCACAAGGACAAGAAAGGTGTGGAACACTCGAAGACAACAAAAAACGAAGAAACTCCCCACCACCTCCCCACCGAGCACCTCCCCACCACCTCCCCACCGAGCCGGCCAAAGCACCTCCCCACCACCTCCCCATCGAGCCGGCCAAAGCACCTCCCCACCGAGCCGGCCGAAGCACCTGTAACCCTTTCATCCCACACTACTCTACTTGGCTAAAGGCAAATACAGTATGGGATTCATCCAACTGTCAGTACGGCCAGATTTAATTGAAAAGGTCCATTGTCAACCTGATCTAAGAGATATTCATACCCACATTTGGCTATTATTAATATAATAATATCCAATCCATCCGACCACAGGTATGCCCAGATTATGGTACTAACGATCCAGTCGAAGAAGTCCAGTACTTAGCATGGCCTGAGAAACAGACATAGTTCACGAAGGCATTAAAGCCACACCACTGGCCCCGCCGTTACCTTGAGTACGAGGGACCCTGCCAGCCATGAGACAAATTGCTTACCCGCCATGGGAAAGGGTTTCGGCAGCAATACGCAATTTTTACGTGCGCTGACTTTGGTGGATTTTCGCTCTCAGTACTTTGAAGTAAATACTCTTCAAATTTAAATAGTCAGGGAGTCTGCAAAAAAAATGTTTCCCGTGATTTCTTGGACGGGTCGGCGGCAATATGCAAATTTCAAGTGCGCCAACTTTGGCAGATTTTCGCTCTCGGTACTTTGAAATAAATACTACTCAAATTGAAACAGTCCGGGAGTTTGCGAAAAAGTGTTTCCTGTGATATCTTGGATGGGGCAAATGTACTGACGAGCCCGTGGGAGCCTTTGCCAAGGTGGAAAACATCATGCGCTAAGAAATGGAATACTTCTCGCATAGTCCCGGAGATCGAGTGCTCATCTTTCTGGTCAAAAAAAAAAAATCGACTAGAAAAAAAAATGCAAGGAAAATAAAATCTGGAGACAAAATACCAGCAGAAGCCCGAAAGGTTTTGGCTCGGTGCTTCACGCTTCAAAGAGTGCACGGGTTTGATAACTCTGCTTTGGGGATTGTTGTGGTTTAGAATCAAAGAGAGAATGAAACGTGGCATGAAGAAGAGCAAGGCTGACAGAAAGATCCGACTATAACACATCCTCGCCTGGAAGTCATTTAATAAATACAGAAAGATTCACATCGTACTTGCAGAATAGATGACCTTTGCATTTCACAATAGCTCTGACAAACAATCCCATGACCCGTTACCTGATGTCCGATCCCGCCATAGCAAGGTAGCTTCCACTGAAATCGAACTCGACTGCAACCACAACAGAGAAAGAGAAAACAATAACAGGAGGCAAGTGTCAATGGAATGCTGAATTCCACTTCGATGCTCTGAACTCAACTGTGACCAAAAGGGAGGAAGAAGAAGAGTGGAAAAAAAAGAGAGAAAAAAGCAAGAACAAGAGGCAGGTGTAAATAGCCTGACAAACGAACTCCACCTGATTCTCCTACAGTCCAAGTCTGACAACAAAGAGCACACATATGTAACTATGTAACCCTTGCAACACACACACACACACACACACACACACACACACACACACACACACACACACACACACACATGTTGGGAAACTATGCTGAAAATCAGACAGCTTCTAACATGTTGGAAAAGATCCATAGCACAATAGCAACAAGTTGATGAACAAAGGCAATCCAGACTCCTGAGCAGGCAGCACACATACAGACCTAAGACCTTTTTCTGCTAACTCCCGCCCCCCCCTCAAAAAAAAAGAACTTCCACATTCTGCGGCCATTTCAAGGGCAAATTGAAAAACTTGCCTGTGTTAGTAGCAATCGTCCCATCGTAAGGAGAAAGTGAGCGGAAGTTCTTCAATTTCCGAAGATCCCATAACTTCACTCCATCCTGAGCAGCTGTCTGAAACGAAGAGACACAGAAATCAGCATGGAAATACACATGAGCCAACTGAGATCACAGCAAGACTTTGGATCTCTGAAACGTAGTGATATATTATCAAGAATTCGTGGTGATATATAACAAGGAAATGCAAGCAGATTCATTCCCAACTTCCAAAGGGGTGAAAGTTCCATCCTGAGCAGCTCAAGGCACCAGCGAATCAATTGCAGATCAAGCTCAGCCCTCTTCCCCCCTCTAGAGCCTTTTTTTTTTTTTTTTTTTTGAGCCAGTTCACATGTAATCAGAATCCAAAATAATCATTTCATTATTGACCTGCGCTCAAAAAGACGCCTGCCTTCCTCGAGGAAACCAATTTCACAACATGCCACACATACTGATCAGTTAATCATCATCCTGCGCTCAATACACAGCCTACCCTTCACCGCTGCCACCAATTTGACACCATGTAACTCCAAAATAATCATTTCATGATTGACCTGCGCTCAACAAGACACCTACCTTCCTCGTGGCAACCAATTTCACAACATGCCACACATACCAATTTGTGCTCAATACACAGCCTACACCTGCCACCAATTTGACAACATTTCACCCATAAACTTCACTGGGGAACATAAACAAGAGCCCTGAAACGGGGGGATCAAGAAAAAGTACTCAAAACACTAGTACCTTTGCCGAGTGGGAAAATAGCGGGCCTCGAGTGGGCCTACGACCTTTTAAGAGGCCGAAACGAAACGACGGACGCTAATGAGATTTATCAATGGCAGCCGGTGTCAGGCCCGGTCTCCGAACTCTTCGGGAACCGGCGTTGTTCCCAACTTCCGAACACTGGTGGAAGTAACTAGCGCTTAATGATCTCCTTGAAGCTGGACTCACTACAACAAGGAGACTCCACTCACTGACAAATACTGATGCCCCATGATATAACAATCACTTCCATCAGAAATTGAGGTGGTATGTGTTGATGCTTACCGCTAGGAAGTACCCATTCTCGGAGAACGAGACTGAAGACACAGCCCCCGTATGACCTTGGAAGGTGGCCACATTTGTCTGTCAGGGCAAGTCATTATCAGTCAACAGTCAACAGCAAGCAGACAATCCACATGTCAACAGGGAGAACAAAAAAAAAAAAAAAAAATCCCGACTTCCTGTTGACCTCCAATGAAACGGATGAAACACAGTGGCACACACTCCATCAAAATGGAGAAAGGCGTGAATAAAGTGGGACATTTCGGGGACGTCCAAAAGAGCGAGCAACCTTGCAGGCAAATAAGTCCTCTGTTTCTAACCTCCACAGTGATTGCAAATCTGCAGACAGACAGGGTCGATGATGGGGAGTGGACCAGGGCAGCAGAGATGCTGATCCCTCATTCTGCTCGAGGGAACTTGACAACACAGTAAAAACAATTGAGACCAGGGCAGAGGAGATGAGATGTTCGGTAAGTCCTAGTGTACTCTCTTCTGCAAGTCCTAATGTGCACTAATTATTTCGAATTCTTGCGGTTCTTCAGCCTTGGTAGTACTTTTCAATACATGACACAAAACATCACACATTACATATCGCAATGCACAGATTTGCCACTGTTATAGGTGGCACCTGGCGTAGCATGAAGATGGCAGTCGGCACATACAGATAACACCTGGAAATGTACTCCAACCATGCCCTCATAACAGTAAGTGCAGGACACACGAGGGCGGGAGAGGCAGGCAGTACAACGACCTCTGAGCGTAGCTTCTGTGAGGGGAAACATGCAAAGGGTGGATGCTGAAGAGTGATTCGGCACACGAGACATCTTCCCACCATATGGGGTAGTGATGCAGTGAACACCCCCATTCAATGGTACTCCCCAACATACACCTGGTGCCACCAGATACCAAAACGATGGTGGGGGTGTGACCAGGGATGCAGTAACACCCCCATTCGACAGCATACTAAAAAAGAATTCCCCTCTCAAAGCCAGACGGACCTCTTTCCTTCATATTGCTTGGGCTCCCATGCTAATCGTCACCTACCCAAAAGATTCTGTAGTTTTCGATAAACCAGCAAGTCTCATTGCATACATGACCACTGTCAGATGGACTCTCCAAAACTACACATCAAACATCCACATTCTCCATGGTGTTTGTTCAACCTTGCGTCGATGGAGAGAATAAATACTGATACCTGCGATTTTACGTCCCAAATTCGGACAAGCGCTTCTCCTGTGCCTGCTCCCAGAATCAAACCATCAGGATGGAAGGCAGCTGAAGTATAACCTTCCTTCACATCTGGATTACCAACCTACACAATACAGGAACCAAAATCAAATCCAAACAAGCAAAAGCTCACCATCACTTCCTAGGCATCAAAGTAGCATCATCCCTCATTCTAGCACTGTTTCATGCCCTTAGTGCCAAAATACAGATGGATATTAACGGCAGCAGCTGCTAAAACAGCAGCTGAGTTTTTCTTTAACACCCGTGTTCACCTACCATTGTTAGATTCCATACCAGCAATGACCAGATTCTAGCGAGTTTTACTTCGATGAGCATATAGGCAACAGGCGACGTGGAAGGGGCAGCACAAACCATGCCACTACTGAAAGTGACAGCATGGCAAATCTACGAACATAACACGATGATAGACACCACACCAACGACACTATATCAGTCAAGTCCTATGAGCTGTAGATAACCTCTCACAACCAGAAGTTGATGTCTACAGCTTAGTCTGCCACGCCACTCACCTGCGTGAGACAGGTCCCTGTTGATATGTCGTAAAAGCACCATGTCTTGTCTGCTGAGGCTGACACAAAATAGTTGTTTGTTGCATGCACAGTGACCGCCCTGATCTGTATAATGCATGCCAACCACACAAACACCAACCATCAGACATATTATGCAACAAAAATTCCACAGAAACATCACAAATTACGAACTCTTCAAAATTCCTAAGCCCTCTCTAACTGGAGGCTTTTTGCTTGTTCACTTTTTCCACCTTGTTTTTTGGCTTTCCAGTTCCGTCCTGCCATTCATTCCAGTGCAACCCTAAACCCCAAAGAATGGAGTTTGGTGCTATATATGAGGACGTATGAAGCCCCCTCTTTAAGAGCCTCTCCTTCTTCCTTTTTCCTCTTCTTCATTCTGCAACCTATTTCTCTTTTTACATCTGCTCACTTCCCCCTTCAGCCCCCTCCTTTTTCAATGGAACCAAGCCAGCTGACTGCAGGGCATTAAAAATGGAGTTTGCCAGCGATGTAAGCAGAAAAAAAAAAAAAACTGTAATCAGCTTAAATGGAGTAAGAGCAGAAGAATAGCAACTACACTCTGACAAGCTTTGCACTCCTCGCCTCCTTTGCTTCAGTCGTTAGATATGAACGGCTACACCAAAAGCATAGCCGGTTCACAAGTGCCGCACACATTTTCGTTTTTTCTTCAGCCAGAAGTATTGTACACTTTCAGCAAGTAAACACACTTTGGAGCCCCACAATGGTGGAAAACATTTTTCCAAACCCTTTCTCTTCAGACTTCTCTTTTCCACCTCGCTTTCCTTGTGGTGCCCTTTTCCCCACGGCTACCGTCTGATCCTATAGCTCCTCCCACTTCGTCTTCTCATTTGATGATAATCCCATTTATTCACATGAACAGTGGGCGACAAGTTTTGAAAATTGCACCACTCTTGCAAAGGAGACTGTGGCACCATCAAGGACATCAACAGCGACCCTGCCCAAAAGATGATGCACTCACCAAACAGAAAGAAGAATGCTTAGTACTGGCAACCATTCACAAAAACGCAAGCACCAAACTCTAACGGTAACCCGGGCAATCGTTCTTCACTCTCTCATAAAAGTTAAAAGCATATGAGGGATGAATGCAACATCAGCTGAAGTGTTTTACTGATCTGCAGCATGGCACACTAGCAGATCAAGAGGCCAAACAAACTGCCTACCGCAAACAAACAAATAAAGATAGTGGAGTCACTGCACAGAGCCCAGACGGATCAATAACTTCAATAACTCGATGACTCCCAGAATGGTGAAGCAGAAGCAAGTCAGCGAAACAAGTTGATCTGCGCACCTCACCCGTGTGCTCTGATAGAACATGCCGCAACTCAAAGCCAGAGTCCTCCTTCAGCTTCCAAAGCCTCACTGTCTGTGGACCAACCAACCAGTGCCACAAAAATAGATTGTGACATGCTGTCAGTTCATTCCCACCAACATTAAGAAGTAACTGTACGGTTGGAAAGAGAGAAGTACCAACCTATTCCCTCTGCCGACATTCTTACCCTCCTTGCTTTTCAACTTTTGATGTTGTCTTGCATCTTTCACATTATTTCTAGGTAAAACAAGTGTAGTATCTGTTCTAATCAGTTCAATATCTGAATTGTGGTCCATCCGGGCAAAAAAAAAAAAAAGATTGACAAGTGTGGACCCAGTCGCGTAAGGAAGATGGAAAGTGTGACAGCGAGAGAGAGAAGAAGAAAAATGAAAACGGGAAAAAAAAATGATTCTGCGCCTTTCACTCAC